TAAAATCTCCACAAAGGCATCAACAGCTCTGGGTGGCTATAGTTTTGATCTGCAGAGAGGGCAAGGAGTCAGGAAACTGCATGCAGGAACATCAACATGGGAGGCTTCAAAACACCTGTAGTATTTATAGCCACAGAGCTGGGGTCAACTCTGGCTCTTCTCTGGATTACAACCCAAATTCCCTTCTTGAAAGGACAGAGTTACAGCATGATGTGCAGTGGTGGTGGTGGAAAGAACGTGTAAGTAAACTGATGGAGGGGTTAAAACAGCAGTTCAAGGTTAAATAAAAAGGCCATGTAAAAGCTAAAAACAGAGCTAGAAACAGATCCATTTTAAGCTTTCCAAGAATGAAAAAAAATAGCAACTATAAACAACCCCTGCTTTACATATGTGAAATTCAATCTAGATCTACACGAGACGTATTTTTCAGCATCCTTGTGATTTCTTTATGACATATGTGCTGAAGCTTCCTTAATGCAAAAACTAGGAGCAGAGAAGAGGAAGCTGGAAGTGATAATCACTCCTGATCTGTAGAGTTCAGAGTTCAGGCAAAATGTTGGAGTGTCAAGCTTATCATCAATAGCTTCCAGAACTAAAACAGCAACAGATTATAATTTAAAATACTCTCACACTAAGCAAACTCTACATCTTCCTAATTTCTGGCTGAAAAGGAAAGTTTAATTACTGTTATTTTTATACAAAGTTCCAGGAAATGACTCATTTATGACCAAATACAGAGCAGTAAGAAGGCAAAGAGGTGAATGGCAGCACTCATGGCTTGACAGCCTCTCATGGTCCCAATGGAAAGTGTCGCTCATGCACATCTTTCCAGAGCATCATATTTACACAAACAGGAAAAGATTAGTCCTCCCACAGCTGTCTACAGCTCATGGATACAAGCACACTATTCTGACATTTTTATTTATTTGAAATGTAAGCTTATCTTACTCCAGTGGTAAAAAAATATCTTCTCCTAACTCTCATAGCTTAATCCTCTTTTTGATCTGAGAGATATCTACAGGAGGAAGAGAAATAAATCCAATACACTCAGTTAATTGCTCAGTGACAGATAATCTTTCCTCCTCCATTTTGTTTCTCTTCTATTAAAAAAAAATAAGTAAATAAAAAGTTCTCAACTGAAACTATGGAAAGAATCTGCTGAGAGGATAACAGCATAATTAAAGTCAGGCCCAGCCTGATGCAAAATTTCATTTTCCATGTACAGAAGCAGCAGCTCAGTTGCCGTCCAAAGCTCAGTGCACACAGAGCCTTAACAATCTAGAAGATTACACAGGTTCTCCCTGTCTCTTTTCTCTTACTGTATTTCATCCCTTCATGTCTGTCACCTGTGGTCTTTTAATTCGTCAGTAGTTTCAGAAGGATGATCTCTACCTGCTAGTTTGCGGCCAACTACAATTAAACTGGCTCAGAAATAAAGAAATGTAATCCTAGCAGGAAGTAATGTGTTTATAAAGAGGATACATTCATATCCTGTAGGCAATGGCATAGTTGGGTTATAGGTGGTTACAGTCCCATCAGTAAGACTGATTAAATCACCCAAACACACTCTGGAATGACAAATGTGCTTAGATCCAGCTATTGCATAAATTATTTGTGTCGGTGACAAGCTTCTACAGCCCCTCATCACTCATCACCCTTCTGAGAGTGCACTCAGCACAGGAGGCAGAAGTGGCATTTCTTTGCCATGTTTTCAAGACAGACTCCTCTTCAGTTGTGGATATCTGCAGAGCTACCTTTCCCCTCTGTCCTTCAGAAACAGAACCCCTGATATCCAACAGCAAACCAGACATGAGATAATGTTTTCTTCCATTCCCCAGAATGAAACCCAGAGGCATGAAATAAATTGCAAGGTACGTTTCACCCCTTCTGTCAAACCTATTTTTGTTTTCAAACAAGCAGGGAGATTTAAATTAACATGTCACTTAAGCAGCCAGGAGGAGCAACAGCTAATAACCTCTTTCAGGTATACAGAATAATAAGATATGTCCCATCTCATCGTTTCTTTCCATCACATTAAGAACAGAGAAGCTGTCCTGGGATCTTCATAGACATATTTATCAGTGACCTGAAGGCAGGGCTGCAAGGTGAGGGGGGATCTAACAGCAGAGCCACACTCAGGACCGAGCACAATGCAACCAGCACGGGCTTACTTATGGCAACAGGATAGAGGAAAATCCAAGGAGGTGCACTGGCAGCTTCCAGAGCAATTGGGAATAAATAAATAAACTTAAGGGCCAACCAGGAATAATGGAGCACTGCAAAGAGAAATGGGTTGATTGTGGTTCTCCAGCATTTCCCAGTTCAAAGCACTTTCCCAGGGATTTTGGATGGTTGGCCATAAAAACACAATCAAGTCCTGGTAAGTGACATGTGCCAAGTGAAGCTGAGGGGTTCCAAGTAAGACAAGTGGTTCCTTAAATAATTTATGGAATTCCTTGTTCTAAGATGTCACAGGTACTAAAAATTTTATCACACTCCAAAAGATATCAAGAAGGTCAGCTCAGGGAATATTAATCCTTTGGTAAATACTAAAACAAAAAGAAAATAATTCAGCTCCTCATACACCTTACACTGAAGGCTGAGGGTAACTTTAACCTTAAGAATGAATGCTAGTTTAATACTAGAAGGCAGTGTCAGATGTGATAATAATTTCCATGTGGTCTTGGTGCCAGCCTCTTTGGAGCCATCACGTGGGAGTTGCACATACCCTCAGCTTTGAGCCTCCCTGGGACCTGCAAAGCAGCTGCACAGTTCCTTATATCTCTTTCCAAGTCCTGTTTTCTCCTCTTGTCCCTCTCCAGCTCTGCTTGCCAGAGGTACCAGAGATGTAAATGACTAATGAATGTTTCTCCCAATTAATATTTTGACATCTGGTAGTTTCAGAAGCAGACCTGAAGAAAGCAGGAATAGAAATTGGGAAGAATAAAAAGGAAAAGCAGTATGATTTTCTCCTTCTTCCTTGCTGATGTACCCTTAGGGAAGATCATGTAAGAATCAAGAAACTGTAAAATCCCAAAATGAAAATCAGGCTAATTTAATGGAATACCAAGATCATGAGAGTGTAATTACTGATGCTAAATAGACTGAGAATTATTTTTCATAAAATGCTCATATTTTTACTTTTTATCAGACAGATCTTGGTTAACAGAATTCCAGACTAGAGGAAACAATCATGCTCTTTTTATATTGCCAATCACATTCTGACACTGGGACTGAGGTCAGGGAAAGTGCCTCACTCTGGGACTGCCACACTGCTGAGGTCCCAGCTACCTGCTACATCCTCCAGTCACATCCACACAGTCCCTCCCTTCTTAATCAGGGCAAAATCTTACACCATTGTGGAATGCTCCACAGAAAACCAGACACAGAAAAGAGAGTAAGGTCATCAGCACAATTTTGTGCCGCATTCATACCTCTCATCAGGAAATGTGCTTTCCACTCTGATGTGGCTGTCCTAGTTTCAGTCAGAAAATAGTATCTCAACACAATCCTGAATCACATAAGCAGATCTTCAGCACCGTCAGCAATGGGGAAGGAGGTGCCTATGCATGCTGAAATGCTACAGCTTCTGCCATGACTGACAAAGGAGAGATGAGTTTTTCTCATGGAGAAATGACTTAGGGTAGTCAGAGATAATGAAAATATTTTTCATATTTATGGATATTTTTCAAAGCTATTGAGAAATTAAACAGTCTAGCACAAACTCGCTGTAGAAAAACATTGCCAAAGCCACAGTCCTGAAGGAAGTTTTATGTGTGCACACACCATAGCAAAGGCAAAGGAACAGAAAGTCGTGGCACCAAGGCATATGAAATGAAAAGACTGAATAACCTCCCCATAATGGGATGAAAAACCATTCATTCAACCCCACAAAATAGTAATACTTTGAAGCATTGCTGTTACTGCTCAGAATAAATCCTAGAAGCCCTGTGTTTCTTTAGGTTTTAGTCTGGTTGGTTTTGGTTTTATTTTTTCAGGTCAGTGGGTGAAACAATAGCCCGAGTTCAGCATGTACTTCATGCCAATTCACTCCTCTATCATTCTATTAAAACACACTCAGCTCCTGAGCAAAAAGTTTATTTGTTCTACCTCTGACCCAAAATTCTCCCTTAGAAAACCCCTTTCCTATATAAGTTTATTAAAACAAGTTCATTCTAACAAGAGGTTTTAAATACAAAAAGCTTTCTTCTACTCTGCCAGCAGCCTATCCACCTTCATCAGTGGCCTGCATACAAAACTCCTGGGTTTCCCACCAAAGTTTCACAGAGGAAACCATGAGAAAACCTCTTTTTCAGCTCATGAAAGTAGTGCTAGGGACAGATGAAAGAGGAATCACCTTTTGGATTAATTTCTCAGAGAAATAAAAACCGGCACCATCTGCTCACACTGAATCCAAATAACTGCCTTAACAAATTGTTCACGGCCCAGCTCTTTCCTTTGGTCCACATAATGCATGATATGCTTTTAAATCATGAAAGTATCAAAACATTCCCTATAAATTGGTCCAACAGTCAAGCTCACACAAGTGAAAATCAATTATCTAGTAGTAATCCCATCAGCTCTAATCAACAGACGTTGAATGCTCACTCTTTGATATTCCTATGTGTATTCCCCAGTCTCAGCAACACTGGCTTTTCATAAGGATCATTTGGGCAGACCAGCCATGAGATCCTTCATTATAAACAAGGACTCTGGACTGTTCAGTTGTCCCAAAAGCAAACCAATTGGCTGATTTCAATCTGAGTAAGATGGGAAAGGGGAAATCAAAAGACAGAATATCTGAGAAGTACCTTATCTAGCTGAAACAAGACAGTCAGACTTCAGCCTTTATGTCCTTGAGTATGAAAGGAGTGAGAGAAGGTTTAGCTAGAAACCTTCCAGCACTTTTAAAGAAATCCAATTAAATTCAATAAAAGAATTGTATCAGGCTTTTCCTATTTAAGTAAGGTGGTAATTATTAACTCAATTTATCTCCATACCTCCAAAGAGAGCTCTCTGTGATGCTTCCCAGGTTGTAGTCATACAGCTTTGTCAGAATTAGAATCACCTAAAGGCAAAAGAAGAAATCATGATTAGTCTCAAACAATTACAATCTCACAGAACCAAAATGACCCCGGGGAGGGCTTAGGATTCCTTTAATGGGTGCTTAACATAATTGAATGAATTGTTAAAAGCATTTGCCTAAACTGACATGGAAAGAATTTGCAGAGATATATGCTGAGCCAATTGGACCTTTTTTTGTTCAGTTCCTCTGCATGACATCGACAACAGTTCCTCCTGTAACCCCAGGAGGCAGAGAGCAGTGGGAATGAGTTCAGATCCAGACAGAGTTTCAGGATACAAGAGATCTCATATTCAGTAGAAATAGTTACTATTTTCTGCTCTGTTTCACAGAGACTGAAGCTGCTGATCCTTTTCATAGCCACGGTGCACAGATAACCCACTGGCCTGTCTCCAGTCAAACACTTCTGGCTGCAGCAGATGATTTGACACAAGCAAATGATCACCAGTGGACTGCCTGGACACCAGGAAAAATCTCAATAAGGATAATAGTTCAACACCTGGACAGACTACCCAGAACATCTGAAAAGCCTCCATCATCCTTGGAGTTTTTTAACACCTGGCTTGACAAACTCATAGCTGACCTGATCTACAGCTGGTGATAACAGTGCTTTGAGTAAAAGGTTGAACTGTGGACCTCCAAATATCTCTAACAATCAGTGTTTCTATAACTTCACTGGAAAGTTTTAGGTTCAGACAGAATGGAAGCGTTTCCAAGTTTATGACTTTTATTAGCTCTTTTGATAAACAGCTTTTCCCTCCTGCCAAAACAGGCACTTCTAGAATAAAATTATCTTACCAGGGGAGGAAAACAATTTTAACAAAAAGAATTTGCAGCAAAAGATTTTAGCCTGCTCTTTTGTTAGTGTCTTTAAAAACTTATTTCTGATTTCTAAGATGATGGGCTTCTTTAACAAGATCTACATTTGGGACAAACTACCAGACCATTACTACTGCTATTAACTTATTTTGCATGTCTCCCTGCCAGGTCACTGTATATCTTGCTCTTCTCCCTATCCCATTAAAACTGCAGTAAGAGACCCAACTCTTACCTGAAAAAACCTCTGATCTATATACCTGCTATCATTTTCAGCCTGGGTTCCTAAGAAATGAGGCTGACAGACACACAGTGCCCTGGTGCCTTGATAAAACTGCCAACTTCAACCACTTTGGCCGAGCAGCAAAGGAAGTTCAGTGCCCACCAGCCCAATGCCAGCTGGCACCAGCATGGCACAGGAATTGCCACATGGGGAGGAACAGACCTCAGCACTGCCTTTTCCAAAGCCAAAAGCCCATCTACCTCTCACACACTGACTGCCCTGAAACAGCCACAGCAGTAATTGTCTCCTTCCAGTACGCTCAGCACAAAACAGCAGGAAGAGCAGTACAGGGGGCAGAGAACACACCTCTCCTTCTGCAAGACATTCTCCTTCTCCAGCACAGCTACTAAATCACTGCCAGCATGGAGAAAGGCTGCCCAAAGCATTTCCTATCTGCATGAGCACAAGTCATGTGTGGTTCACAGGGAAACTCACACAGGAACCACGAGCCCCCTCTGCTCCCCAGGGCACCCTGACTCTGACATCCCCTGGGCTCCCCAAAACCCCAGTGCTGGCAGCTTCCCTCTCTCCTGGCAGGTCCCTCTTTGAAGAGGGAGCCAAGGTGGGAAGCCAGAGCTGGGGTGGGCTTTGCCAAGGCTAACGCAAATCAGGGCTTTTTAAATCCTGTATTTCAATCTCCACCCTCCCAGGAATGCTTCTCAAAGACAGCAGGGCAGCTGTCTGCTCCAGATACAGAGCTGTGTCACTGCCACCCCTCACAGCACCCTCTGGACAGGTTGCAAATCCCCTGCTTAGCAAGTAAATCAAATCCAAGGGGAAGACCAAGGCAGGGGATGGGATGTGCACATAAAGCCGAAGGTAGCAGGGAACTCCACTCTTGCTCAGAGACATCACGTGGGAGTTGCACAAACCCTCAGCTTTGAGCCTCCCTGGGACCTGCACAGTTCCTTATATCTCCTTCCAAGTCCTGTTCTCTTATCCCGCTCCTGCTCTGCTTGCCAGAGGTACCAGAGATGTAAATGACTAATGAATGTTTCCCCCAATTAATATTTTGAGTAGTTTCAGAAGCAGACCTGAAGAGAGCAGGCATAGAAATTGGGAAGAATAAACAGAAAAAGCAGTGTGGTTTTCTCCTTCCTTTTTACAGGCTGGATCTTGGGGAAGATCATACAAGAATCAAGAAACACTTTCCCCATCTGTAAAATTCAAGAATTACTATCAGGCTAATTTTATGGAATACTGAGATCAGGAATGTGCAATTACTCATACTAAACAGACTGAGAATTATTTTTCCTAAAATATTCAGATTTTTACTTTTTCCCAAGTGAGGAAAATTTAAAAATCTTACAACAGCCATGAAAGAAAACTCCACTGAGAATTTTAATCTCATAATTTTAGGGGAGAAAAATTGTAATTGACATCCCAAAAAGAATATGAAATGAAAAAAAAATTTAAAAAATGAAAGTGTCAATAGGAGAAATCAAAATATTTCCACTCCAGAGGGCTGAAATGTCTCTTTTGTTCTTTTTTTTTTCCCCTCAATAAATTTCAGTAAAACCCACACAATCTTGAAGTTCTGTAGTTGTCTTGGAACTGATGGGGGAAAAAAAGCCAGCTGCATTGCATCACAATTCTTTTTGATATAACTCTAACAATCCTTCTGCAGAGGCATCCCTGGACCCATCCAAACATGCATGTCAGTTACTGACTAGCTACATTAAGAACCCTAAGCAATATTGCTATATCCTGACTTCCTAGTAAATTTAGGATAAAATCTTAGCATTTAACATTCCCAGAATTTGTATTTGACACCATGCTGTGGCAGACACATGCGCCAGTTTCTGGATTAACATCTTTGATATCTTCACTTGGGGCAGGAACTATTATCCTTTGAATAGGTACCCTATTTCAAAAACACATAAGAGCTTTTTCTAGTAGAAGCTTTTTAATTTTTGAGACTCTGTATCAGCTTCCAAATGTCTTTATCTATGGTTTCAGCAGTCTCCTTGTGTCATTTACTATGGTTCAAATACCAGTAAAAGATCTGCTCAAACATATACGTGCAAAACAAACAAATCATTGGGCAGAAAATTAGTTATTTCTGCCCTAGAGGTCACTATTCTTTTTTCCCCTTTGCAATGATACTTCAGTAACCTATGCAGGGCCATGATTCTGGATATATATATATACTTTTTCAGAAATCATTTTTCATCTTTGCTGTTCTCATTTCTTTGTTATTTAGCCTGCAAAGGTTAGTTCATTTTTAAGATTGTTTTTCTTTTTCCCCCCCACCCTCTGTGGCTGCCACTGTGTAGCACTGAGGAACCTAATGAACAGAGACATGCATATTACCTCCTTCTAAATGTCAGAATAGGGGCTGTGAAGAAGCACAGTAATGAAATGAAAATAACGTCTCGCCTTTTCTTCATTTCTTGCTTTGTTTTTGCTTTCTGTGGGACTGTGTTTTTCTCCTTTTCTTACCACTTACCAATCAATTCAAGCTAACAAGAGCAAGAAGCAAAAACAAAAAAAAAAAAAAAAGAAAAAACAAACTAGAAATAGAATGAAAAGGAATTAAAAATCCAGTCTTATTCCAGCTCTGCTGTGAATACAGATAACCCTTCCTCTTGTGTAGAAACACAAGGCGTCAGAAAGCCTGTTATTCATTAGAATCAGCACCTGAAGTGGATTATTCTTCCACAGCAGGTGAGAAAGAGAAGGAGAAACAAAACTTTATCACTTCTACACTGACAGCTCAGAGCAAAAGATATCTGATCCTGGGTTTAGCACATCCCAAAGTGAGTGCACGTACCAAGAGACAGAGCACTAAAAATGGGTTTAGTTACTCACACGAAGTGCAAGAAACAGACATCTGCGAAGAAAGCATTCACAAGGCATTCACACCTTGCACAACATCATGTTTTTCTTCAAACCATAAGAATTATTTTTTTTTATATATATAAAAAACTATTTTGTTAATCAAAATAGTAACTTGACCTCTAACTGCTTTTTTAGGCTTGAGACATGAAGGTTTGAACCTATGGGTTTCAAAACATAAATCAGTGGCAGGCAGAAGAGACTGCTCTGTGAACTCATTAGATTAGGCCCTAGGAGGATCTCTGCTATCACAGGAGAAATTCTAGGCTGGGCACGGCTAAATTTTTCCCAGACCTACTTCGGCTTACGAGCAAGTGATCCATGCTGTCTCACCATACCCATCCTTGCACTTCTGACCCAGGTTTACAGCTGGCTTAGATCTTTGTCTTGACCCTGTTTTCAACTATTCTGTAAATACTTCTAGCAAGGCTCCCTCAGGATATGGGCCAGAGTTTGGCCTTCACCACAACACAAGTTCCAAATGTAACTAAATGGTTTTCTCCCCTGGCAAAAAAAAAAAAAAAAATTCTCTTCTCAAGCAGTACTGAACTAGCTGGCCAGGAAGGTAATGGAATTCTGCACTCTGCTACTGATCAGGTTCATAACTCACTGGGAAGGAAGCAACAGGCTGCACTCTGTGCCACTGTAACTCATCTGGGGTCGAGACGTGTATCCTCAAAGCAAATCAGCCAACACTGCCACAGAAACCAGCACTGAGGAACTCTCAGCACACTGTGTCAGGCAGCTGTAACACTCCCCAGTACTCACTGACCATGACAAATTTATTCCTGGGAATGCTACCTGAGTACTGTGTCAAAAGATGTCCATACTCATTCAAGCTCAGCTAAACAAGGACATGGACTACAACAATCGCTGTGTTCGAGGCTTGATCACCATTATTAAAGACCCAGTACACGACACAGTCTGTGATAATCCAACTCAAGTTCATTTACACCAACAGTGCTCTTATCTTCAATACATTTTATCAGAGGTATTCCCATCACCATCCCCAGGTCCTCTCAGTGCTTTCCATTTTACACAGCACAAC